CTACCACTACTACTACACTACTATCAGTGGGTGGTTGGCGGGTACTCTGGTGTGGTTTGCTTCTTCTTTCCTATCAAACATCTATCGTCCTTATCTCCCCTTCTCTTTTTATGTTTGTTTCTCTTTTGTAACAGTTCTAATCTTCTGGCGCTCATATGACCTTATGCAGTGGCGAGCGCGTAAAACCTCTACTAAAACTAAAAACACTACTACCTTTACACTACTACTTATATATTATTACTACTATTACTACTACTATTATTACTACTATTATTATTATCATTATTATTGTTATTATTATTATTATTATTATTGTTATTATTACTATTATTAATAGTATTATTATTATAACGGCTACGACAACTACTCCGTCAGAATCCACTTGAAGTACAAGGAAATCGAAGTAAGCGACGATCTGCCCAAAGAGTTTGATCCCAGGAAGAAATGGCCCAAATGTCAAAGTCTGAGTGAGGTCAGAGATCAGTCTACCTGTGGATCCTGCTGGGTGAGGAAATGTTACTGTGGTTATTTTAGTGGTTGTGGTAGTCGCTGTTGTGAAGGTGGTGGTTGTTGTTGCTGTTATGGGTTTTTGTGGTTGCTGCGAAGCTTCCTTACACAATCCGTGAATCTCCCTTCGTATCCTCATTTTGTTTTGAACTTTCTTTCGTTGGTCTTTTTGTTACTACTCGATTCCCGCTTCAGGTACCGGAGTGGAAAATGACGGAAGGGGGAAAAATACGTTTAACAACATGGAACTTGTCACACGATAGCTTGACTCATGCCGAGCATAATATTTAACTCATTGGAATCTAATCTATATAAAACATATAGAACAAGCTTCTTGCTTGTTCTATTTCATGTTTGTTCTGTCTCGTTTCAGATAACTAAAATGAGAATGTCGAATTGTGTTAATTAAAACCAAAACTTCTTTGGTCATCATTCTTTCTTTGTCATTCATTCTCACTACGCAAGCAACATTAGGCTTTGATAACAGCATGAAAAAGTTTCGGACAGGAAGTAAGCTCCAATTGCCTCTGGTTGGTTATTTTGACTCCTCCTGAGGAGATGCTTCTTCGAAGTTTCCCTCCAACTCTGTTGTGAATGGATGAGGCGAAGAAAGATAACGTAAATTAAAACCAAAAAGATCCAGGGGTTTCACACCCTGACATTAGCGCAGCGAAACACTGTCGGTAACAAGGAGGAATGTGATTAACTGGAGGCATACATAGCCATCTCAAAATCAATTGTCTTTTTAACTGATGCTCAAAATCACTTGTCTTTTGAACTGGTGCTCATAATCATTTGTCCTTTGAGCTGGTGCTCAAAATCGTTCGTTTTTTAAAATGACATCTCTTCAAATTGTTCGACTTTTCAACAAGGTATTTTCAAAATCATTCGTGTTTTCTCCAGGCCTTCGGTTCCGTGGAGGCTATGACAGACAGAATCTGCATCGCAGGGGGCGGCGCCGTCCACCTTTCTGCCGAAGATGTCAACAGCTGTTGCGAATCCTGTGGGTTCGGGTGAGTAACGTCAAAAGAAAAAAGAATAGTCTTTGTTCTGAAAGGTGTCTTCCGTGGGAAAATCTGATACAGGAAGTTTTCTTGTGCTTAAATATGACAGACGCTAATGTTAACTTCTTCTTAAGGAAAAAAGATCGAAAGAGAGAGAGAAAAAGAAAGAGAGAGAGAGAGAGAGAGAGAGAGAGAGAGAGAGAGAGAGAGAGAGAGAGAGAGAGAGAGGGAGAGAGAGAAAGGAGGGAAGGAGGGTTTTATGTGTTTTTGTTTGTGTATCTGTGTCTACATTATTTGCGTGTGCGCATGTGTGTGTGTGTGTGTGTGTGTGTGTGTGTGTGTGTGTGTGTGTGTGTGTGTGTGTGTGTGTGTGTGTGTGTGTGTGTGTGTGTGTGTGTGTGTGTGTGTGTGTGTGTGTGTGTGTGTGTGTGTGTGTGTGTGTGTGTGTGTGTCGTGTTGACTAGATACACTCACAGCTATTTTCAAACTGACATTATCAGTGTAACTCCACTAACAAGTGTGAAATTAACCGGAGGCTCTTGTATACTTTAATCGTGAGTGGTTGGCAGATGCTCTGGTGTGGTTCGCTCATTCTTTCCTATCAAACATCTATCGTCCTTATCTCCCAGTCTTCTTTTTTATGTATGTTACTATCTTGTGACACCCCTAATCTTCTGGCGCTCATATGACCCTATGCAGTTGCGAGCGCAGTAAAACGTCTACTAAAACTAAAACTTAACAAAATTTACTTTAATCTGTCCCCAGATGTCAGGGCGGGTACCCTACAGCAGCCTGGGCCTATTATGTCCAGAGTGGCGTGGTTACTGGTGGCCAGTACGGCAGCAAACAGGTTAGTTATCTTTGTTCATTGTTCATTGTTTCAGGAAGCAACACCTGGACATGTCCATTGATGCTCCGTTGCTCTCTCCAAAGTGTCGCCGACGGTCTTTCCACTGATTGTGCCAGTGCATATCTGGTTGAACGTTCTTCTGCTCTTTCCTGCAAGATTTTCCGCTTCCTTTTTGTATTTCCAAAAGCATCATCCTCTCCACAGCAGTACTGGCCTCTGCCTCCCTATCTTCCTCCTCAATCAGCTGGCGAGAGCGACATTTCAGGATCTCAACCCTATCTGGTTGAACCGTATTGTCAACTGAGGTGGCCTCACCAGCCAGTCTGTACGATCGCTCACATGGATTTTCTGCCATGCAGGTGTTATGGAAATGAAAAAGCCAACAGCCAGTCTGTTGGCTTTTTCATTTCCATAACACCTGCATGGCAGAAAATCCATGTGAGCAATCGTATAGGCGTTGCTTGGAAGCTTGAATCCATCCTGAAAGTGAGTTATTTTTAAGTCATTTAAGATTCTTGTTTTATGTATAACTTCCTGAGAATTCTGGTGTTGGCGTTTTTCTCAAATTGTTAATGAACGCTGAAATATTTCTATTACTATACCACTCTGTTCCCCCCGTACAGGGCTGTCTGCCATACTCCCTCGCACACTGTGACCATCACGTCAAAGGCAAGTACCAGCCATGTGGACCTGTGGTGCCCACCCCGAAATGCACGAAACAATGTGAAGCTGGCTACTCCAAGAGCTACGATGAAGATAAGCATTTCGGTAAGAAAATTTGAATAACGCTTTGGCATGTTTGTGGGTTGATTCTCAGAGCATCCACTTCAACATTAGGTATTGACTGTGTGGATTTTTTGTGAGTTATTTCCTTAGACTGTCTGTAAAAAAACGTAAAGGAACAATCAGGGAAGTTCAAGTGAAGGGAATACAGTAACCATTCTTTTGGAAGCTTTCAACTAATATATAACGCGTTCCACAAACCTTTTCTTGCAACATTTCAGAGGCCATACTACGTCAGCACATAACTATTAATTGCTATCAATCGAACCTAATATATCAGACTTAGTAGTGTTTGTGTTAGTTTGTGAAACCGTACACTAGCACACATGTTTGTGAATTTCGAATTTTCTTCAATCATATTCTTGGAGCCTTTTTCTATCAATTTTTTTTCTTAAAAGGTGAATCCAGCTACGGAGTGAAAGGCGTTGATCAGATCGCCCAGGATCTTGTAAGTAACGGACCTGTCACAGCTCTCTTTTACGTCTACGAAGATTTCCTTTCTTACAAGTCTGGTGAGTCAATTATGTTTACAGTTATTTGTGGCAAAAATACTCAATCAATCAATCAATCAATCAATCAATCAATTTAATCAATTAATCAATCAACCAATCAATCAATCAATCAATCAATCAATCAACCAATCAATGAATCAACAAATAAATAAAAACCCTAAAAGACAAACTCCCCCC